TTCCCGCCCCAATCAAGTGGTGCCCAAAGGTTCTGAAATTTAATCTCCCTATGACCGTCAATCTACGTGCGGATTTCGCAGCAGGGTTTTTAAAGAGCAGCCGTCGAATTGGGCCTCAGCGCTCCCGCGATGCACTGTGCCGCTAGGCGCTGCACCTTCTCCATTGGCCCGAGGCATAAGGACTTTTGTGCGGAATTCCAGCACACCAAAGCGCCATAGAGCAGTATTGGGCTGACTATTGCTGTGTAGCACCAATACATCAGAGCAGGTGAAAAACCCCAAGTGACCCCCAGCATTCTTTTACATGCATAAAGGACGTTACTGGCCTTCTTCTCTCTTTCTTCAACATTGCGCATCCACAGCAGCGTACTCTCCAAGACTACTTCCAAATACTTTCTGTGGTCTTTAATTGACAGCTCGATGCTAAATACCCAGCCTCGGTGGTCTCCACACTGGGACCTTATATCTTTTTGTGACTACACCACTGACCCATACAAATTGACAAAAAAACTTCTTTGTGCTGGTGAAGCATGTAGAACTACAGGACGAGTAGCCTGTGCAAAATGTGATGTGGGTTTATGTTTGAAATGTTTTGCTACTTTTCATTAACTTCTTCATCCGCTTTCCACGTAGAATATGCATATATTATCAATAAATGTATTAAAACTTATACACAATGTTTCTATTATTTCATATTTTAACCAAATACTGTCCTCTAACAATCCATCTGGAATATGCCCCGTGGTGCCATATGGCAACGGCCGATATCGGAAGAACTATACTACTCCCAAAGTTTTAGTCATATTTTTATACCCGAGCGCACTTGTGCACAAGGGTATTATAACTTTGTTCGCATAACGGTTGTTTGTAACAGGCAAAACGAATCGAGATAAATATAGACAAATGTATACATAAATGATCAGAATGAACAGAGAAATCGGTTAAGCGGTGACTGTCTGTCCGTCCATCCGTCCGTCCGTCTGTACACACGATAACTCGAGTAAAAATTGAAATATCTTAACGAAACTTGGTATGTGTACTTCTTTCGGGCGTAGGACGGATGGTATTTAAAATGGGCAAAATCGAACAATAACCACGCCTACGTCCCATATAACGGTAATTTGCAGAAATACGAAATCTTCGATAAATCAATAAATATTAAAGCTAATTTACTCAAAATTGATGCTTGCAACAATTCTTTACCAAGAAATACGTTTATGATAAAATTTTGGAAAATGGGCGTGGCACCGCCCACTTATGATCACTTATATGTATCTCGATAACCGTTCTACTAATTTGTACCAAACTCGGTATGGTTATTGTGCTTGCCACACAAAAGCAAAACGTTGAAAATTATTGAAACCGGACTAAAACTACGGCCACTTTTCATATAACGGTAACTTTCAGATATTTCGAAATTTAAGGACGCTAATTTACTCAAAATTGATACTAACAACAAACCCTTCAAAATAAATAATATTGTTTGGAATTTTTGGGAAATGGGCGTGAAACCGCACCATATGACTATATAAGTTTATCTCATTACGTCTAACTGAACGTTCTATCGCAGATGTTTAAAATAGGGGTAAAACCACCCCCCTTACCATGTAGCGGTAGTTTTCGGAAAGGAGAAAAACATATATTTAATACTTCCGCCGGGTATTTAATGTTTGGCTCCGCCCAAACTGAGACTTTCTTACTGGTTACTGGTTATGGTTAAAATACTGACAGGCTCAATTTCAAGTCCGTCTCTTCTGGCTGATGTTAGTTTTAATGTTCCCTCAAGACACTTTTGTCCCCTATTTCTGAAAGCTTTGAAAACTAATTTTGAATTGCACGACCCACTCCGTTGCTGATGCCAGGATTTCAACTCTCATTCCAGCACGTTTGATACAGCGTTGCCGTTTTCAATATGTTTAATTACCCAGAAAAAAATCCAAGTTACCCACAAATCCCCACACAAATTTTCAAATTCCCCGCAAATTCCCCACAACAGAAATAAATATTTTTAAGTTAAGTTTCGTTCACAAAGCTTTATATTATCCTTTAAAATATATAATATATTTTAGTTATTACAATTCTCTGCGTTAAATAAAAAACTAAATTCACATTATAATACAAAAAATTGCTTATTAGGGAATAAAGAAAAATCATTGTATGGAGTCAGTTCTTTGAACTGTGAGCATACAAATGTATATTTGGGCATTAAAATTTAATCCATAGTTCAATTTTCGTTGCACTTATTAAGATAAGAAAATCTAAGAAACATGTTATTATATTCATCAGAATGTTTGACTTCGATTACTATCTGGGTGGTACTTGAATATTTATCGCTAAAATAAAAATGGAGGATTGACTGGCGTGCTTTGTTGAACTCGGCCAAAATCGCTTAGGCAAATACAACAAAGCTGCGTGTATTTTGTTGTTGATTTTGTTCTCTAAAATGTCACAAAGTTAAACAAAATCTCTTATTTCACAGTAAAATTTTAACAAAATTGACGATTCATGGACCACTTCGAATGAAAAAAATGCAAACTACAATCCTCTGCTGCTGTTAACTACCTACTCAATGTGCCTTATGATTCAAAGTAAAATAATTTCTTCAATCTACTGCACAAGGCGAATTCAGACAAGGTGGTATCGGCTGAGTTAAAACAAAATATCAATAACAAATTATAGCACACTGACAGCCTGAATTACCACAAATGTACAAAAAAGACATCGTTTTAACATTAAGAAATACCGCGGCGAAAATGTCAGCTGTTCATGCAAGACCACCTTGTATGCATTCGCCCTACTACTGCTAAAGTAATTATTACACAGTGCTTTTAATAATACTATATTTGTATTGTTGCCAGTTTTAATGAAATAAAAAAAAACATTTAATGCAGAACGCACTACAAGAATCAAAATTAAATAAGGAAACTATGAAAATTAATTTGAAAGTGTTTATGGAACTAAATTTTTCATATTAAAGAGCAAATTCCCCAAATTTCCCCACAGAATATCGTTCCCCAAACATTACCCCACAATTGGGGAATTACCCACAAAACGACAACGCTGGTTTGATATATCAGATCCGCTTTTCAGCATTAAGAAAGCGATACTCTCCTCTCTCAATAAATGAGTTATTAACATAAAGACATCAAATTGGCTGATGAATTTAATTTCTGTAGCTGAACAGTATTAGATCTCGAGACTTAACAAACTCCTGCATTTCGTGACTCGGCGGTAAAAATTGAAAACATTGGTTCTGTACGTCATGCGGACTGCGCCCCTCGTGCGGATGGGCATTGGGGGTAAAGCCGTTGGGATTATTATTATTAATCGCATTTTACTTATGTAATTACTTGCGCGTGGTCAGTGAGACCAACATCAGCATTGACGTAACTATTTTTTGATTGTTTTTTTTTAATATCTCCTACCTTTCAACTTATATATGTGAGGGAATTTGGCAGTAATACCAAGCAGTACCAATATTTATAATAGGTGCTGTAATTTAAAAGAAATTTTATTGTATACTTTTAACAATTTTTTTTTTTTTTTTTTTATTATATTTCACACGATATGCATAGGAAAAGCCAACAAAAATTCCTCACTAATCATTGTGAAAGTTGCCAAATTTTCTATTTACTCTTGTAAAAAATAAAGTATTTTTGTTTAAAAAAAAAAACAGTATTTTTCGTTTTAAATATACATATGAATCAACTTTTTGAAGATATTGCTAATAAAATTTAAATTTAAAAATTAAAAAAAGTTCTGGGCTTTTATTTTTTTATTTTTTAAGCACAGTAGTTAAGGGTTAAATTACTATTTACTTTAACAGTGGGTCATAACGTCCCTACATGTGTTTAATCGCAGAATTAACATTTCAAAATACCCCCTAGTAGATAAACTCAGGAATGTTTCACTATACTAATGACGTCATTTGGCAACATCACTGTGCGTCGATTCAGAAATAGCACAAGAAGCCATCTCACAGACGTGAACCATGTGACATCAGGTGCTTGTCGAGCCAATATGTATGTACTTAAGTACATATTGTACATATTTGTGTGACTCTTTTTGCTTAAATTGAACGTTGTACTCAAAACCTCATACCCATAACGTAACTAAGAAAGATAAGAAAATTGGTAAATGTGAAAAATCAGCAAAATAAAAATAATTACGACGAAATGCTGTGTATCTGTTCGTAAAAATATTTAGTTTGAATTTACATATGTATGTATGTACATTAGAGTGGTCCAAAAATAATAAAGTCGAAATTTTAATACCGCCCCCCCTAGGATTGTTCTGAACCGAAAAAATATACCCATATTTTTTTATTTTGAAATCAAAAAATAGCGCTCAAAATTTTCCATGTCTTTTATATGGGTAAAAAACAACTTTTCGTAGAAATTGTATAAAATTCTTGAAAATCAATATTTTTCGATCGGAAAACTGTGGTTCTCTTCAGGAGACTTCCAATATTAATATCCTACTTTAACTATTTTTTAATACTAAAGATTTTTTATTGGTTCACCCATTCTGGGGGTTTTGGAGGACCTATAAAATATAGTTACCTTGACAAAATGGTTAAAGAAACAATTTGGTAAAATACATGGAAAACTTTGAGCACTCCCTAATTTTTTTTTTTTCAAAATATAAAAAAGTGGTATACTTTTTTCGGTATAGAACAATCCTAGGGGGTGGCGGCGTTAAAAATCCGACCTTATTTTTTCACATACAATTTTAGACCACTTTAATGTACATACATACTTATGTATTTTATGAGAACAACATGACAAATGTACATAAACTTCGAAATAGCCAGCATACATATAAGAAGGGGGAAACGTAGAAAACACTTTCTCTTTCAGTTTGAGAAACTTTTTTTTATTTTTTTTCGCTTTGACAAGTGACAACAAAACAATAAGCAAATCTAAATGTACAAATAGTGTATGCGATTGAATTCTAGCATGCATGAACATTTGTTTGTATGTGTGCGTTTTATTACTTACCTCCAAAATGGGCGCTTGATTATCCAGAGGCACTAACGGCTTTTCCGGTATGGGACGTGATGCGAAATAATAGGCTGTCGCAGCAGCGAGACCAGTCAAGGTCACAACGCCTGCAGTGCCGCCAAAATAATATAAATAGCCATCAATCTCATCCACTGAAATTATTTAGAATGTAAATAAAACATGTAAAAAGACATAAAAATATCAAATATCGATATCGCAGCGTATTTTTTAACAAAATGGTTATTTAGTTAACGTTATTGATATTGTTATCAAAAAAAGTGCCGCATTCGATTTTGTACCGGTTTTAGTTATAGTTGTCGATATACTTATCGTCTACATATGTATATGGGGCGTTCCATACCAAATGGACGGAGTTAATGGATAATCGTAAAAGATAAATAAATATGAAATTTGAGCTTAAATAATACATTTTTTAAAACTTTACAGAACAAAACCAAAAACAAATCGATGTAATAGTTTTCCAAATATCTCGATAACGGGGTGAGAAAAAAAACTTCAAAAAAATCGCACATACACACATCAAAATTCTCTATGAAAAAAAATATTTTTATAATTTTTTTTTTGTCTTGGAAAATTTTTCACATACAACTTTTTTGATAAAAAAAACTAGTTTTTGAAAATATACCATCTCAAAAGAAATAAAAAAAAATCGCAGTGTTTTGAGTATTGCGTAATATTTAAGTATAGTACTATGGAGTGAGTAAAATGAGTGCATTACGAATTTACAAATTTGTTAATTTTGTTTAACACTTGCACTTCATTATACTAAAATTTAATGCGCTACAAAACTGCATACTCAAAAAAATGCAAAAAAGTATTTAAAAAATTTGTAAATTACTAAACTATTTTTTTTTTATAAAAAAGTTTGTATGTGAAAAAAATGTTCAAGAAAAAAAAAATGTTTATATTTCTTTTCAAAGAGAATTTTGATATTATGTGTGATTTTTCCAAATTTAGATTTGGAAAACTATTACATCGATTTGTTTTTGTTTTTGTGCTCTAAAGTTTTTAAAAATGTATTATTCAAGCTCAAATTTCATATTTATTTACTATTTATGTTTATCCATCAACCCTAAAAATTTTAAACAAATCAAACACATGAAGTGTGAACCCCGACCATTTTGGAATGGAACGCCCCATATACATACATAGGGATACTCACGTAAATATGAAAACTTGCTCACTATAAAGTGATTAAAGTACGCTAAAAGCGATTTTTCTGGCGTCATCACAGACATCTTGAGAGAATTAAGTTTCACGAGCTGTATTGATTTTATTCAAATGTATGTGTGTATATAATTTCTTTAAACTCGATTACTTTTTGTTACGAACTAATTGTAAAAAGTTCTTGAACGTTGATTCAAGAGTATAGTTTAATTGTTTCTTTTCTGGACCAAAAGAAGACCGTAATTGTCGATTCTGTAATAGAGAATAGATAAATAATAATTACTTTAATTTCTTCTAGAAGATACACGCCCTAGAAAAAGTTTACGAACAGAGATTTTTTACAATGGATACGCATAATACTTTTCATAAAAAATATTTTCGATTTATTTGTTATAAAAGTTATATAAGTATGCAAAGTTCCAACTATGTCTTAAATTTAGAAAAATTTTCCAAATTTTCATTTCAGAATTTTAGGAAAATATTTTGGTATGCAGCGATAGCCCAGTCCTATGCAAATCGATGCATCGATGTATTGAAAAATACCGATCTACATTTATATGCATCGAATCAAGGAAACACATCGAGATGTATTTTTGCCACTGACATTGCTAAATGTGGCAGTTTGTAATTGATAGAAAACCCCATTGATTTTGGATTATTTTTTTCTCTCAGTGTTGTGCATTTTCTTCCATATAAAAAATTTTCAAATATACTTATATTTTTTTAAATTTTAGACAAAGTTTGAAACTTACATATATCTAAATGGTTTATGCTATAAAATGAACTATATTTTTCACATGGCCTATATGTGCTGCATATTCAGCAGCATTAATCTAACCTAAGTTTTAAAAGGTTTTTCACTTCAACAAAAATGTACATAAAAGCTAATTGGATAATCAAATAATCATCACCAAAAATGTAATGCTTATATTCATTGTAACCTTTTAACAATTTTTTTGTCCTTCCGATATTTTTTATGACGATAATTTTTACTATACAACGATGAAACACGCTAATACATACCTATAAACCAATATCTTCTTTTGCCGGCAGCAGCCCAGTGACATTGTAGTAGCCTTTTGATCTCCTTTAGTTAAGCAAACACACGTAGAGATGTACATACATACATACTTATCGTCAACTGAAGTGCATAACTAACAAAGATTACGAAATTTTCTTATTGATTCGTTATGATACCTTACATCGTTTTATGCAAAAATATGTTTGTTAGTTACAACTTTTAGCATTTCAGTTGACGATATCTAAGTAAATTTAATTTATCTGGCTAAAAATAAATGTTCTGTGCCACTGGCGTTAGCGGAATCATAACTACTTTATTTTCCTACAACGCACTCTGCGCCAAAAAGGGATCAAAGCTGGCCAAAATTCAAAATCTTATCGAACTGGCTTGAAACTTGCCACTCGGGGTTTTTGGGGTCACTGATTACGAATCTGGAGTCAGAAAAAAAAATTTAAAATGGCGGATATAATACGGTGGACGATATTTTCAAAATCAATCGGATCAGCTTGAAACTTGTTACGCAAATGAAGTTGGCATGGCTGATTGGAATGTGATATTAAATTTTAAAAATTCAAAATGGCAGATCAATGGAGGGCGATATTTTGAAAATAGATCGGATCGGACCTTCAAGCTTGTTACTCATAGTTTTTGTGCTCGCTTATTACAAAGACAAAATCGGAATTCAAAAACTCAAAATAGTTCATCCAATATGGCGTACACTTTTTTTTTGTTGAATCAAATTCAACTTGATCTCAGACGAAAGAGGCATAAAAAGGTTGTAGTTTAAAAAGTTTTTGACAACGGTTGCCACCTGTTTGAAAATAAATAATTTAATGAAATTATACACAAGTTTAAGTGTCAAACGCAAGAATGTTTGGACATCTTTAGTTTGAACATGTAGAATTTTGAATAATTTGAATGAATTATCACAATATGGATATCGATCGAAATGGTTTTGAAAAGTTTTAATTTAACTGTTTAAATGAATAAGTTAATTAAAAGTGTATCACAAGAAAGAAAGTTTTAGTTTGAAAATATTTTTAAGGGCATATTGAAAATCTTCTATGTTTTTGGCTGAGTTTTGGTATCTTGAGTTTTATTGAAATAAATTAACCCTAATTTAGCGCGCAGAAATTGCATATGTGGGCTAAGCGGGTGGGTGAAATAACACAAACGGCAATAAACAAAAATTTGCTTTATTTCACTTTTAAATGGGAAATAATACCAAAATCTGAGTTTTGCTTTATTTCCAACAAAGGTTGGAAGTAAAACAAATTTTGCCTTATTTCCCATTGCTTATTTATACTATTTGTAACAAAAACAGTTTACTGACAGAAGGAAAATGAACTTTGTTTATTCCAAAAATACAATTAAATAAATATTTTTACTCATGAAAAGTCTAACAAAATATAGGGAAAGCGTCGTCTTTAATAATTGCTCGGCAAATTGGATATAGCGCTTTTGTATGAATTTTGTCTGCATGCTTTTTAATACGTTGAAAATATTGCTGGAAAACCTTAAAACCTTTGCATGGCACCATGGCGCAATAAAGAGGTGAAGTCAAGGCGAATTTATATAAGGTGATAGCAGGAGTACAATAACAAAAACTTACATGTATTTTGTTTTTGCTTTGGCGGCATAAACTGTCAAAATCTGTAAGAGTGTGTGTGGAAATTCAAACAAAATTTTTCAATTTGAAATAAGAAGCCGTGAGGCGAAACACATACACAAAATCAGCTGATCTAGTAACACCACCTTATATAAATTCGCCTTGGGTGAAGTAATAAAAGAGCTTTTTCGCTTTATTTTCTGTCATTCGGCTGCCTTATAGACAAATTTTAAAGGCAATGTTTCATATCAGGCAGTGTCAAAATCTTTCCTGTCGCTCTAATTACTTCACCTGGTATAATTCCGCCATGGCATGGAACAAACAATAGTTGCCGTTAATGTTCGCAGCATATGTATAACCCAGAGAATATTGTTTTGAGTTTTATCTTCAGTTAAAATTTCTGCATAATCATCACTTGCTATATCCGACCTGTGGATTTCGTTTACGAAGACGGAGCGGACATGTGGAACGAAATAGTGATGTAAAAATATGTAAAATTTTACTTACTCTCAGACTTCTAAATTTGAACGTATACTCGGTAAAAGCGGGTGGGATGAATGGCGTAAAAAACAGGTGAAGTAATAAAACAGCTTTATCGCTTTATTTTCTGACATTCGGCTGCCTTATAGTCAAATTTATAGGCAAACTTTTAAATAAAGCAGTGTCAATACTTTTTTTCTCAGTCGAATATTACTTCACCTGGTATAATTTCATCATTGGTGGGGTGCATGCAATAACACCATACGCAATAATTCCCATTACTTGGACATTAAAAAGCAGTTTCAGAAGTGAACTAGTGTCATTTTATTTTTTCTATCCTTTTTTCTAAACGGTTATAATGCCACCAGTGCATAATTGCGAAAGGAGGGGAGGGGCGCTGGTCTTATTGCTCAACGAGAAATGATATAAAGCAATTTGTGTTATTTCACATTTAATTGGGAAATAACACAAATTTGCGCAATTGCCTTTTGTGTTATTTCACCCCCGGGCTGAGCGAAGCGGGTGATGGCAATCTAGTGACAGAATAATAAAGTCTTCTCTGTTGTCCGAATATTTGAATCAATACAATTATTTTCGCCATTATTCAATTTCTAATTTTTAACAATTTTTTATCTTCAAGGGTGCACTTCTCATACAGTATTCTAAAAATAATTTTTAAATTATGTGCTTTTATTTATTTATAAATCGGTAATAAAATAATTTGAACCAAATTGATGACTTGACCTTTGGCCACTCTTGACTGAACTCTGGCCCTGTGTGCATCGTTCGGGTTCCTTTGCTCTCAGGAATTCAAATATTTACGATATGGATAGCAAACTAAATATTGGTTTATAAAAATTTTGCCCTAGCACCAAAAAGTTCTTTTATTCTATGTGGCTGCTATTACCACCTAAATTCAACTGATTGATAAATATGATTCCCTGTTGTATATATGGATAGCTTTATGCATATTGATATATGTAAGTGCACAGCTCATTGTTGCACTAACGAACAGCTTTCCTTCCGCAAAGAACTAGCACATGTTGTTAGTGACTGTGTATGTATGGCTTTTTCAATACATACATACATTGGCGCAACTAACGCTGGGCTATAATTTGAATCGATTGTCATGGGAATCAATATACCTGGCAATGGGCCACACAATTGAGTGGACTAATAAAAGCATATGCAGAGGTCCATATGTATTAACATATGTATATATGTATGTATTTATATACATATGTATGTATGTATGTATATACGATGTAATTCATGTAAAACAGAAAAATACAATATATATACATATGTAAATCAGTAACGCCGTGTGTTAATCTTGACATTTACATACATACATATGTCTATGCATACGCACGTACATGTGTATCTAATTATCTCACACCTGCTGGTTTTACGAATTAAAATTTTAAATGCCATGTCCGAGAATTAAAGCAACTGTGCTTTGTCAATAAAAATTGTATTTAGGGTAATATTTGTATTGCCACAACTGTGTATATTAGATACATATGTACATACCATAGTCGACAAATGAAAATGTGCACCGTGTTCTAAAGATATAATATTCACAATTATCTTAATGTATAAAATCTTGTGTCACTGTAATCGTTAACGCTAATCTCCGAAACCGCTTAACCGATTGTTATGAAATTTTGTGGGTGTGTATTGTTGGTTCCAACTTAAAATAGTTTTGAACTCGAGAAAAATATTTTTTTTTTCATCGAAATTTTTTCTATGCTCGCAACTTTCTTAAAAATCCCGTATCGTTATGTTCGTTTACGCTAACTACAAACTGTCCATTTCCGAAGCGAGAGTTTTCCAATGTTATTCGCGGCTACGCTTCATATGTTGGGGAGATATAGTTAGGATAGCAACAAAATAATGTCATCACGTCTAGATTTTTTCCTAAGTTTTTTGTGGTTAGAAAAAAATTCAGACGTGATGGAGCAATACAGACTTCAGATTCGTGTTCAGCGACCCCAAAAACATATAACAGACTAGGTTTGGCCAAAGAAACCTTTCATCGATCTTTTTTTGTGGACCTGTGTAATTAATGCAAAAAAATAAATGAAAATAATAGTGAATATTATATTAGAACAAGGTATACATTTCATTTGTCGCCTAATGTACATATCTATGCCTATGTACATATATCATGTCTATGAAGGCGTAGCGCAATTTGATGAAAATCATTCAAGCGGAATAAATAGCCTGTCTCACGCATAAATCATGTATTTCAAGTAACTACTGCAATTCTGTTTCCATTTTAGAAATTATGGAAAATTCGTTCAGCGAAGTTTGTGGTAAAACTATTATTAAAGCTGGACCTCAATTACATAGCAATTACATTTGAATTTGCTTGATTGAGGATTTTAAAATGATTTTTGGTTTTAAAAAAGTAATTAGCTTTTAAATGCTTGCGGTCTGATTTGAAATTCACTTAAAATTGAGCTACCGAATTCAAAAGCATTGAAGCAGAAAAATTTTAAATATACTTATACTAGGTTCACATATAAGTAGATTATCCTCATTTTCGAGCTTAACACCCTAGTCTATAATTAGAACAAGAGATTAGCCATATAAAGTTCGTTCCTTGTTAATCTGTAATTATAAAATAATCTCAGATTTAACCGATAACTTTTCGGTGTCCATCCTAGTTTAATCGATTGTTTTTGCGAAAAAGAGGAGAAATGCCAAATGCAAAAGTAAACAAAAATGGACGCTAGCAAGGAAAATATGTTTGTAGAGGTGTTTTTAATAAAATATTAAGTTAAAATATATTTATATTGCTTATTATAGCAGAAAAACGTGATCACGGTGGCACAGAGAAGACAGAGATAACTTTTCCTTGAGATGTGGGAATAACAAGCACAACAAATTTGACGGCTAATAATCTGAGATTTGCCTGTGTAAACGGGGTGATTAAAAAACGAGCTTTGATTGAGATAATATTGATATGTGAACATACTTTTACCTTTCGATATGGAGGCTATGCTCAGATGTTGTAGTTGTAATTTTTAGAGCTTCACGAAAACGCTTATTGCACGAGAACTAGTGAAGCGATTTCAAAGAAAGGTGTGGCGTTTCAATGACAAAATTCCAAACCTATCGACAGATATATTTCTGTAAGTAACCAATTCGGTGTCTGCTGTAGAAACAACGGTAAATATTGGCTTATTTCGGGGTCAATTTTGAACCTTTGAAGTGCTCTACCAACTTATGATTTGCAGATATAACTTTCATTTTCGGGATATAGGTGCTTTGGAGCAGTAGAAATATTCTCGTGTACAAATTTTATATAAATTCAACAAATATCGAGTATTTTAAGGCAAAAAGTTGTTGAAAAAATTAGCAAATTTTTTTTTCCAAAATTCTCGAAAACCGCTCGAAATATTTTGTTTTTCTTTTCACCAAAACAAAAATTCAAGTTCTTTCTTTTCGTTTGGTTTATGGGAAGTATTGGTTGATATCTTCTAAGCCTTTTTATTTTATTCAAATGTATGGGTATAAATGATTTTCCATACAACATCACTTCGTCAGCGTTTTGCACCCGCGGTACAATTTTTAAAAACATCGGAATGGGCGGGATCGGAATTGAATGTTTAGTCCCGTGCTCATCTTAAGATCTCAAAAACGATCTGCAAGACCTTAAGAAAGGTAAACAAGTTAGGAGTAGTGTTGCAGAATCAGAAGTTTTCCCCTAGATTTAGGGACTTTTGACTGCCCTAGGGGTAAGTTTAAGTTTAGTTTCAAAAAGATTTTTGGGGGTAGTCCGTTATCTATGTAAACATTCTTATATGCATAAAACCATATCTTCAAATTCAGCTACCAACGCCAACGCATACTTGTGTATGTATGTATATGTAAATATGCCATTATGTTTTGGCGGCAAATGACAAATAACAACTAGAGTTAGTTAAAAGTTTAAGTGGAATGAAAAATTGTAATCCCTTTGAAATGGGTACTCAATAAAAATTCACTATCTACAATTGACAGTGGAAAAATAAAATTACAACAAAATCCCCATTAACAACACTGGCAACACTGGTTAGAAGTTTTTATGACTGCAAAAGCCGCTGAAAACAAATTTCCAAATATAGGGGATAAATAAATTAATTGACTTGTTTCTTTAATAAACCCTGACCGATCCTATCTCTTTTAAAGAACAAAACCGTGTAACTGGCATTAGCTGCCGAAAATTGGATTTGCTCACACAAGCTCTTGGCGCAATCCTTATCCATTCGTCCTGAAATATACTAGCCATAAATGCGATTGATTTATAAAAAAAAATAACCATTTCGAAATATGAGTGTTTTTGCTCTCTAGAAAATAACTTATTCAATTCATTTTGTTGTTAGGTTGAGGATGTGTTTTAAAATTCAAGGTAACAATTTTAATAAAACAAAGTATTATTTTAAATTTATTTATAGCGAGAATTTAATTCGAACTCATATTCAGCTTAAATACATATATACCAGACCAATTGCTCCTTAAGGCTTCAATGTTCATTATTTAATTTTTGTTGTTGTTTTATTGATCGGTCGACGAGTGATGGGCTTGAATGCCTATGGCTTCTGGCTTCAATAACAACATCTATCCTCTGCACACCTTGCACTGTTTTTCCAGTTTTTTTATTGTTCTTGTGTCCTAGTTCTTGCACTTCCCTTTTTCCATCCGTGCTAATTTTTTTTGAAAAAAGTACTTTGTTAAGTTGGATACAAACAAAATCAGAAAAACCTCACAGAAACTCAGGCTATCCAGATAGCTGTTCGAAAGTTTCTAATGAGAATACAACGAATAGTTCAAAGAGAGCTTAGCCTTTTTTTATGCTGAGCTGAAGTGGCGCCACATATGCGTTTGTTAAGTACTATACACACCCTACTACTTAGAGGCACTATTTACAACTAACTCAGTAGCTTAATAAGTTAGCTTAGCTTAATAAAAACCTAATAAATATTCTGTAGTTCCTGCCAAGCTAAGTGTTTGTGACCGAATTTTAATCAATTTATTTCAGTCTCCCTTTGCAGCTGCAATTTTGGATGCGCTGTTTTAAATATTTCGTGCATTTCCCTTGCCACTTTCCATGCTGTTGTTGGGCTTAGTATTTATACACTTAACATAGATACACTATAACATAGATATATCGTCGTTTAAAGTACAAAATCGCGTATCGTCATTCTGAAAAACCGTGTAACTGACATTTGCTGCCAAAAATTTGATTTGCTGACACAAGCTCTTGGCTCAATCCTTGTCCATTCGTCCTGAAATATACTAACCAGAAATTGCTTTATAAAAAAGAGAAAATAATTTATGCAACCTCACATTTTTGTTGATACGCGGTTTTGTACTTTAAACGACTAAATATATACATTGTGCCACCAAAATAAATACAAATTTTTCAATCCATTTGGCCTTGTGTACTTACCGCTGCAAGGTATTGTTAACGTTGGTTGAGAGTAATTATCGATTTTTCAACATTTTGCAAACTATTAAAGCTTATTACTCGAATTGACTTCTTTACACATTTTCTTATTGCTTTTTTTACTTGCTTGAATGAGTACGTTTCTAAATACGAGTATTAAAAAAAAATAATAATGACTACCAATTTAATAGTTTTTTATTCACAGTCCACAGTGGCACTTTAACACAAACAATTCGCGACACGTGCGAGTCGTCTGCCGACAGTATTTAGACTTTTTTCGCTACAATGCAATGTAAAGGGCCATACGACAACGGGCAAAAACAAATTTTTAGTACTCGTGAAAAGTACAAAAGTGGTAGTAGAAAATAACGGAACGCATCGATCCGGTTGGCAAACTTGAAAAATCGTTACGGCTTTAATAATAACTCCTTGGCCGGTGTTATATTTTAGGCGCACTGTCTTCTCACAACTACTGAAGATGTGTACATATATGACCCAGGCATAGCATAAAAAACTGTTAAGCACATACAAACACTATTAAGATGTATGTACATACACTCCGAAATATAACAGAACTTTTTTTTTTACCGGAAAAGTACGGAAAAATCGATGTCGACCACCGTGGTGGAAATAACGTCAGCTACACCTAAAAGTCGAACTCGTACTGAGCTTGTCAGACAGCAGGACAGTAGATACAAAGCTGGCACAAACATATGTATGTATAAATGGCAATCGACCCACAACTGGCTGCCAGGGTTGGTTTACAGATAGCCGATGAAGCAGTGGTTAAAGAGGCGCAAATAATAGTACACAAATAACTAAATATATATCTGTATGATTTTTTTTTATGCCAATTGCATTGTAATCAGAATTGCAGTCATAAGAAAAAAATGTATTTTATTTGCTTGCGGTTTATTTGAGTATATTCAGCTTTAGCATACATATATTATATATATAATCATTTATGTCATATTTACTTATGTATATACATACAAAATCCTACTTTTCGAGTAGGTTAGGTCAAGTTGTTGTGAAAGACCCCACACGGGGGGACTCACTTAAACATTAATTATATTGTCCATTGCGTTACCAAATTACACAAGTTCTTTGAACGGTAACTAAAGACTCTCTTAGAACTAAAAGAAGCTCTCGGCGCTCAGAACAAAATTCCGCAGGCAGCTTATGTTCACTCCGGAGAGCTTTTCGGGAGTGTGGAAGAAATGCGCACTGAGGTGCTTCAACCCACGATTGAGAGAATATCATTCTTGGCTTCAACCTTAGTTTTACGAATGCCGGGCAGTTGCGAAGAAAGTGCTGAGATGATTCCACCTCGTCTTCCAAACAGCTGCGGCTATAGGGATCTGTGGCGATATTAAGTCCCACCGCGTGGTTTCCTAAAAGACAATGTCCGGTCAGTACACCTGTAAGGACCGAGAGCTGGCGCTTAGCCAGCTGCAGAAGCTCCGTTTACCGCCCGCGGATTATTTGTAATCTCTTCACTCACACCAATGCCATCCCGTAGAGACAAACCTTTGGTTTTAAATTTTTGTATCTAAGCACAACTGGAATTGAAGTTACGAGTTAAAAAAAAACAAATCGGTTTTTATGTTATTACTAGCAGTCCTTGCGAACTTCGTCCCACCCAAAATTAGTTTTTTATTTAAACATTTGGTCCAATGTTTTTACCATTGTTGGTACGTTCAGGTTTGGTTTTGTGGTCGTCAGAAAGCATATGCTCCATTGCCGTCTTAAATAACCTAATGAAAGCGTTATGTCCGTGAAACAGTTCTTGTGGCAACAGTTATCTGGTCCGATGGTGCATCGTCCTTGAATCTGTATAGTACAATTGTGGCAATTTCAAAATGGGGGAGTATTATTAGTCCATAGAAATCCAATACACATAGACTTATTTCAGACGAAATACCTTAGAGGTGTTACAATTGTATTTGTAGGCATTTATCAAGAATTGTCTTTATTCTGTTTAGTCGCCGTAAAGCAAGGACCGCAATCATTCTGATGATTGATTTAACGGTGGTAATTTAACTTTGATCCTTGGTGTCTCCGATTAACTTCACTTGACGATTTTTACCAATAACTCGACTCCAGCGCCGACTTGCAGCTCTTTCTGTGCAATAGTAGATATTGCCCCTACCTTTACCAAAATATTTACGAGACAAATCGGCCACGAGACAATCGGACAATGAGACAAATCGGCCACGCTTACCTTGCCTTGCCCCGTCCATCCCCGGACATCAACCAACCGGGCAGAGGCACCATCCCGATTAAGGGTCCGGATATTCCAGGTGCATACCCTCAAATTATAGTCCTTTCTACGTTAGCCGTGATCGTCATCAAAGGAAAGGGGTATCATCCGAGGCATGGTTTTTTTACATTGGGTAGGGTTTTAACGAGCAGGGACCCAAACCCAACGCATTGTCATATTAGTTCGCTCCCAAACGGGTGTTTGGTCGCTACGCAGGGGATACGCGGATATAAATATTCGGACGAATTGAGCTGCGATTTGAACCGTAAGCAAACAAATCACTTTTGGCCACTCCCAGATGAATGGTAAAAGCTCTGCAGTTCTGGGAAATTTACAGAACATAATGGTCAAAGGCGAATATCTCAACTAAAACCTGATGTATTTTTTAAATTCATAGCTCTACATACCTGTACACCAAATAGCCGGTCAAGCCGTTATTCTAAATAAAAAATATAAAAAATAAATTTTCCGTATACTACAGTGATTCCCAAAGTGGTCCAATTGGCCCACCAGGGGTCCATGGAAGACTCGACTCGAAAAAATATGGGGGTCCACGGGTTGTAAGTGGGGATCCACGAAAATGTATCTGGTCTCGATGGTAAAGAACCAAAATGGTTGCTTGATAGCCTATTTATTTAACTTTAATTTATATTGCCTCTTGACGCACTGGTGAACTTACCGTCACTTTGTGTTATCATACGTGGGAAAGCCTTAAAGGCCACCTGCAAACTAAAAGGAAGCGGATGTTGGTATAACTCTGAGGGAGGCGATGCGGAGATTACCGGCGGCAGATATTTGAGCACTTGTGTATTTTCAATGCTACAGGATAGTACGCCACCATTACCTTTGTTGAAGAGATTCTAGAGAGAGAGAGAGTTCCCTCAGGGGAATGCTGGTTTAATTCCAGCACTGAGCCCGCCCTCACACATTGTCGAATCTTCATTGATGGCTCCAAAACTGACTCAGGGTCAGGATCTGAAGTATTTTTGTAATGGGGATAAGCTTCACTTTTTCCCTTTGGGAATATGCTTCGGTCTTCCAGTCTGAGGTAATTGCAATCCCCAATGCCATAGACTACGTGGTGGAAAATAGGTGGGGCGGAAGGTACAGCCAAGCTGCACTCAAGGCATTGGCCAGCCCTCTATTTAAGTACTTCCAAACTAGTTCGGCAATGCAAGTCTCGACTAAATTGTGTTGGTAAAGATAACCCGCTTGCTTTACTCTGGGTGCCGGGCAACTCGGGATTGCCTGGAAATGAGACATCTGACCCTCTGGCCACAGATGGCTTAAACCAGGCATTCCTCGGTCCGCAACCAGTTATAGTACTTCCCACTTTGGCCATCGAGGCCTCCATCAGAAACTGTGTGGATACTTCGCTCAGCAATTACTGGGAGCCATCCGGCTTTGAAGAGGATGAGATGGTGGAATACTTCTTGAGCTTCCTGCTTGCTCTTTTGTTCATCATCGATTTATCTAGATTCGATCTTTTGTTTTTTGTCAGTTTCTGAATTTGAAGTTTGGCGTAAAAAACTTTCCAGTTTTGTTGTTTCAGGTTTTGTGTTTTAAAAATGCGGGTGAGGAATATTTTTCGTATCACTTTAAAACTCGGAGCTATAAAAATAAAAATGATGCCATCAACACAAATAAACTATTTGACAAATACATCACATGCAAATTCACGAGTAATCCGAACATGTGAGGCAAGGCGTATTTAACAAGGTGGTGTTGGCCGTATATAAGTAAAAAATTACACTAACAAATTATACGCTGATGTCCATACTGTCATTGGTATGAATTACAACAAACACATCATTTTGACGTAATGGCCTCCGCGGCGAAAAACTCAGCTGTCGCCCCAACACCACCTTGTTTAATACACCTTGATGTGAGGAGTTTATTTATTGCTCTTAAAAAATAAAACTCCTCAAAGCGAGATAGTTCTTTCATGGCTTTACGAACTCTGTTTTTTAAAACTTGCAAGTATGTAATCACGTCATTTTAATAAATAGAACACAAGAAAATATTTTATTTTTATATTTGACACTCCGAATTTAGTTTTGGAACTCATCCGCGATGCAAATTTACATCGTTAGATCTAATCTTCACATTATTTGGTAAGCATTGGGAATATGTTAGAAATGGAGCAGCAGGGGGTCCACCGAAACCAGTAAAGTTTTGAAAGAGGTCTACGAGTAAAATAAGTTTGGGAACCTCTGGTATACTATGCAATATACCTCTGCACTTTTTTAAGATAAACTAAAATTATCGAGATAGCATTTCCTGGTACTATTTTTGAAAATATAGGGCGTTTTCGGACTGGCTGCTGAGATAGGTCGATCTTCCACTCAGGTGTCGAAATATGGCTACTATTTTCTTACTACGAAGATATGTAGGACAGGCATATAAAAAATTAATAAATGTGAAGTAAATGCATATCGTCGCCCTTATACCAAAAGCATGAATGTGCAAATTTATCAATTTTGAGTTATTGGGTTGACTTGATTAACCTTTGGATGTGCAAATTTTCAAGGATTTTTAAGGACACAATTTTTAAAGGACTTTTCCATACCCATTCGTTCTTATGCACCAAAAAAATTATTCTGTTTAAATTCTACATAATTTTTCTTATATTTGATACCCTTATCTTTATACTAGATTGCACTGAATTTTTTTTTTAATTATTTGAAAAAATTAACGATAATCTTAAATTTTTATATGAGAATTGAAATCGGTTTGGTTTTTTGCTTAAAAATACTGAGAATGAATTACCACATTTACTTAAAATTATTTAATTTCTACTCTCTTTTTCTGCAACTTCGGCATTCACAGTAAAAAAAATTTCTATTATGAATGTGAAATCGCGTGATCAGAGAAACAAAACGACTACCTCACTAGTAAAAAAATCGCGTTTGATTTATAATAGTTCGAATTTTGATTGCCGTATAGCCCATGATACTTTCATAGTTAACCATGACTTGTTAAAAACTGTCAAAAGTGCAAAGATATAATTTTTTTTAGAGAAATGCATAAGAAAGAAAAATTATGTATACATAAAAGGCGGTTATCCCTTTTTTATAAAATACTATATATTTTTAAAGTGTACTATATTTTTTCAGATTTTTTGAAAAATTACTATAAAGATCTTGGTAACCCTACGTAGAATCCTTCTCTGATATAAACGCATAATCGAAAAAAAATGGCCCGCCGTAACTTACACGCATCCACACATACTTACGTGGCTTCAGAAATATGAATATAAATATGTTTATTTGTAAACATTTCGCTATCCCTAACCTCTTTGGCATCTTTTCCTACCGGACACTGCAGCAGAATCTCAACCCTACATACATATGTACATATACATATGTAAGTAATAAACATATGAGTATGCGAACCGATCTTTTTAAAATTCAGCTTTTTACGATAAGCATAAAGACAAAGTCCATGCATTGTTCTCGCACATTGTACATACGCGGAATTAAAAGACGAATAGAAATTTTGCGATTAAGCTAATGAAATTCAGTCCAGTGCATACCTGATAAGAAATGATACAATAAAAGTGTTATTTTGTTTTTTCCCCAACTTTCTTAAACAAAAAAAATGTATCTATTTTCATTGAACTCACTTTCCGCATTTTAAATTCGTCGACATTTCTTAAAATTGCTTTCAAATCGATAATATAACGATACAATATAGCTTTCAAATCGATTATTTTCAATTTAACGAAGCTTCCCCCATACCCATCTCTATAGCAAAAGTAGTACTAGAAGTAGATCAACTGTTTCATTGCATAATTTTAGGCGATTTGAAATGATAGCAAAATAGTTATCATTCAACACCAAACCACAAAAAATTACAAGAAATCCACAACGGATACTTACGCACGCACAAATGCACTTATAAAACACAATACTCATCAAGGGGTTTTAAAATAAATTGAAAGAATCACAAATTACTCAAGTATCCAGCGACGAAGCGCCAACAACGAGCAAATACATTTCAAGTGTGACAATATTTAGTTAAAAAAAAAATAAAATTTAAGTACTTGGTTAAGCACACAAATTAAAATAAAAATGGACAATAGATCAAAAGTGACAAAGAAAGATATAGCTTTCAAAGTAATACAACTGCCTGCTGCAGCCGAATGTATTTCCGAAAAGTCATCCTTACAAGATCAGCATTCGAAGGAAGCAATCGACATTGAAGGTAATGAAGGTGCTGCGGAGACTGTGATCAGTGTGACCAGTGGGGTTGATAAGATCGATGGTCCTATAGGAGTCGATTCCCCTGAGATAGATGATCAAGCAACTGCTCCACCCACCAACGAAAAACTACGTCGAATTGATAGCATGAATTATGCCGGAAATAAGAACTTAGCAGAAGGTGAGCAAACACAATTCCATGAAGCGTAAACGAAAGTGTACAGGAAATCTAAAAATAAAGTTTTTACACATATTTAAATATTAAATTGAAGGTCTAATGGATATTGCACTTTTGTCAGCGAATGCTAATCAGTTGCGGTTTTTGCTTACATACAACGACAAAGCGAGCACTTATTACATGAGTCTGTGTTTGGTAGGGTTGTCCTTGGTGCTGCAAGTGGCCGTTGGTGTTGGGCTAATTTTTAAGGTACATATACAAATGTGTGTACATGCACACATATTTAAAAAATTAAAATATAAGCTTGAAATTTCTTTAACTTAATGTGAACCCAAATTTTATATGAACTTATATTTTCTCTATAGCGCCACTTGAAGAGAACTGATAGCTGCTACTTCTATATAAAAGAATTCTTGCTCTGCGGCGTTTTCATTATTACTGTAGTGAATATACTCCTCGCCGCATTCACCACAACCGATGGCACTGAAAAAGCATAGAAACTAAGAAATCCGCTGATAGAACGATAACTATATATACATATATGAACAATGAACAAATTTAAAAATGAACCTAATAAAGACTGCCAAAAATATTCTACTAACTAAAATTAAAAAAAAAAAAAATGTTTTCAATGTAAAGCGTTCACAACTGTTAAGAATATAATACAGTGAAATCCCCGTTCATTTGAGAATTTCAATAATTCGTAACAAAAAATCACGTTCATTCGCAAAATCTCCGCACATTTATCGTATTTTTTTAGCTATGCAAGTTATGTTCAACCTATTATAAATGTTAATTGGTGGTTTTGACAAGCTCTTTGTAATTTCTAACACACACATGCATTTTTTCCTAGTCAGTTAAAATTTAAAGGGCGTATTCGTTGTCTAAATTAAATTGATACTTAAAGTAAGTTGTAGCTTTTTTGTCAGGTAACCCATTATGTAAAAGAGCTACACATAACTTAAAGTGCCAACTTAATTTTGACTACGAATATGCAGCTGATCCGTAGCATATCCATCGAAGCCTGATTTCTTTAGACGGAGCATTGCTCGGGGTGCATATCGACCTATCTTGAAAACGCCCTACTTCGGAAAACCGAATTCTGAGATAAGGCGTTCTTCAACTAAATTCTGAAATAGGGCGTTCTTCAACTAAATTTTGAAATAGGGCGTTCTTGAAAAGCTTTCTGAGATAGGGCGTTTTCGAACTGGCTGCCGAGAAATGTCGATCTTCCACTCAGGTATCGGTATGTATATGATTTTTTATTTTACAGGAGAAGCAAAAACATTCAGGGTATTCATCTAAACGCGCAAATGCCTCGTAACTGTGTAAACCTCGTAAATAAACTGGTTTTCCACACAAAATTAAGAAAATTTATGAGGTTTACGTGGTTGCCAGGCATTTACGCGTTTAGATGAATTGCCCTATTATAAAAAAAGGGTATGAAAAATAAGTAGGGCTTTTAAAGAGTGGCTTGTAACTCTGTTGTTTTTGGTACTAATACTTTAAATTTTTTATTGATCTTAATACATCCTACCAAAATCTGTGAAAAACGCAGTTACGAAAAAAGTGTTGGTTATTTGTAAATTAACGATACGTAGTTTTTAAGGTTGGGGTATCAGGTAATGGTTTGGATTATAAATATTGTTTTTATGTAATATTGTTAATGGAATTATTATCAATGCGTTACTATTTTAGCATAATAAGAACCTCTGCATTGAAATGAAAATAAAAATATGTTTGCTTACTCAGTAGCTCAAAATTCTATAAAAGATATTTTTAAAATAAATTGCTCGGAGCTGATTTTGGGACACATCATCCAAGATTGTCGTAAACAGAAAATGCATCACTGAGAGAATTTTTAATGAGCTAGAAAATCAAAACAAAAGCGTGAATTTGTATACGTTTTGCAATAGAATTTAACTATTTTCTAATTTAAGTATAATTTTTCTTTTATTCGGTATGATATACATATTATGCAGCGATATATGTGATATATTTTGCAATGCAACTAATAAAAGCTTAAACAGACGGCAGCGTTGATCCGGATTAACTCGGACTTAATCCGGATCAACTGCAGTTGATTCCCGAGTTGATCCGGATCGACGCGCTGCCGTCTGTTTATGCTTTAAGATGATAAACCTAAATAAAATAAATTTACATCAAAAAAATTAATAAATTTGGGAAATAAATTACACAACGTCGCCTGAGTAAAAGATTATCGTATGTTAATTTCGGCAGGTTGTGGGAAATTGCGACTGAAGTTTGGAATGCAATTTCTCAAAAACGCGAAGCTAAATTTTCTCCTAAGTCTCTGAAAATGTTACTAGTTCACAAAATTCTTAAATTATTTAATTTTTAATGTTTATTGTTTATTGTTAATTAGTTTTGACTTTATGAAGAATTTTATTAAAATTTTGTGGTAAGCGTCATTTGTCCACAATTTGGCAGCCACTTTGTATGAAATACGACAAAATGTGATCAAAATGTCTACCAAATTAACGACACTTTTTACTCAATATCTCGGAAACAAAAGAAGATATCGGAAAATGGTAAACGCCATTTTTAAGATATTAATTAGTTTAATATGACTGCATCACCAACTAAATTTTTACTAAATTATCGAAAAAGTTGTAGTCAATATATCGGAAACTAAAGGGGATATCTAAAAACTGATAACACCAATCGAAAGACCTTATTTCAAAAGATATAACTGCATCTAGAACTAAAAATCGTCAAAATGGCACTAACGACAATATTTTACGCAGGCGACGACAAGCAAATTACTTGGAAATGTAAATTCACCCCGATGCGATACAGCAACAATAAGGGCCAGGGGTATTTTTGTACGAAAAGCAACTTTTCAGCGGCAGCGCTCAGATCGTTCCGATAAGTAATGTTATTTTGTAACAAATTTATCATCAAACCTGTGTGTTTATTCGTAAAATTGATGCACTAAACGAAACCTTATTCTAATAATTTCTAAAGTTTATTTCAATAGTGCTGAAGAGCAATCGCGCCTGTAAGAAATTGTGTGCTACCTAAAATCTCACCTCTGGAAGCTTTATCCCCATAAAGGACTTCACTACAGTTTTTTTACTAGATATACTGAGATCGTAACAACACCTATCTAGATACCTTAGAATGCAAAACATTTCTTTAAAATCGTATATGTACAAATCGTCTGATCCCTGCTTAAGAGGTCGCGCATCAAGCGTTTATTTTTCCAAAGTAATAACACAGATTCTCTAAATTCCTAACCTTTTATATACATATATGTATGTACATC